ATATATAAAAGAGTTTGTTTAATTTATATTTTTAGAGTACAAATTAAATATGTAATAAATATATATTTTTTTCTTACAATGTATTGTAAAAAGTGATATATATATTATGTGTGTATAATTGTAAGATTAGATATATTCAATTAGTAGGATGCATTAATATAGATTTAATTATTTGAAGCTACTTGTCAAGTTATACAAAACATTATAGAGAAAGTTTACTAGAGTAACACAGATGATTCTTTAGAGTTTGGTATTTAAATCCTCGACCCTCAAATCAAATTGGTCATATTTTTTCCTTAAAAAAAAAAAAAATATACTACTTTCTGTCACAGGCCTACATCTGGTCTGGTTAAAACTGGACCACAGAGGGTTAGGGAGCCCAAGGAAAAACAGAGTAGGCCTAATATGGCATCTTTTATAATAGAAAAGATGATCTGCTATCTGACTAAATGAACACCATAAGCAAGCCCATCTGACCTAGGTCTGCATTAAACAAATGCCCAAGTTCCAACAAATAAAAAACAAAGCTCAAGTCTCTCATGCAGTTAATCAAGCCCAATCTCTCTGTTCCTTTCATATTTTTTGTCTCCTTTTTTTTTTCTTTTTAAATAATTGTTTATAAAATAAAATAGGTTCTTTGTTTTGCAATTTGTACCATATATTGTTTTGGTAATAAAGGAAATATAATTACACACACATAATTCATACTATATTAGATTACAAAATCAAAGTTCTTGAATAGATGAAGATAGTCTAATATTAAAATGTCATATTCCCAATCTAAAAGTCACTATCTTCCAATATAATATAATATGAATTGTAAAACTATTTTTCAAAATAAAATAACTTTGATGGGTGTAATAAGATAATCATGCTCTAATTCAAAACGAAACATCCTCTGATTCCCTTCCAAAGGGATCAAATAAAATATAACACCAAAAATTTGTTGTGAATTTCCGAAATTTCAAACATTTTGTTTGTCATATAAGGTATGTGCCACCGCAAAGTTCGCTGCCACACAAACACATGACCTCTAGTCTCTAGTTTAAAATGGTTCATTTTCTCGTTTGGTGTCGTTCAATTCTTTAATCTCAAGGAGTACTTCCCATGCTATTCCTTATATTATATATGGAGAAGTCTTCATTCAAGTCGCTTTCCTTGATCGTGCTATTGCTTCTGTCTTGTTAGTTTCTAATTTCCTATCTATATTCATCTATGCACTTACACAGGCATTTTGATAAGAAAATGTGGAGGAGATATGATTTACAATTCTATAATTTAATTACGGTGCTTATATGTAGTTCAGAATTATTTGTAACAAATCTCAAATTTTGTTTTGCAGTTTCA